AGGATGTTAATAAGGGATATTATCATCTTCATTATTTTAATTTTAGAGAAATACATGAAACAGTTTCATTAAAATTTCATTAAGTAGTATATGAAACAATTTYATAACCATATATGAAACAACTTCATCAAAAAAAAGTATTATATGAAACAATTTCACAAGATTAAATAATTTCATGAAAAAATTTCATAAGATTAAACAATGAAATCGACGAATGAGAGTAGTTTTTATATTTTTTACAAATTGGAGTGGTTTTCATTTGATTGTTCCTATATATATATATATACACACACACATTGTACCAAGGACATCCTATAACAAAAAATGAAAGATTGGTAAGTTTTATCTTTACTTGCATAAAATTAACATGCACTCATTTCATTCTATAACAAATGTGAACAATGTATCTTTTAAAATATGTTAAAGAAGTTCAATACTTTTCCTCTTAACAAAGTTTTAATACAAATACATATATTTTTCTAGCAGTAATCCTTATAAACTATAAACAATATTTGTCTTATAGCACATATTATTTCTTACTAATGTTATAAGGGGTAAGCTAAATATATTTTACCTCACACACAAATACATCAAGACTTACTTTTTACATTCTCAATGTAATATTACTTGATTCTGACACAAAAAGATTCTGACACAAAAAGCAGTGCATTAATTAGCATTCCTGTATATATGTTATATTTTTTTTATGAAAAAGATTGATCATGAATAGATCCAAAACCTACGTATATAGGATTGTGATTGTCTTGGACAACCATGTTTTGGAGGTTTTACCATTACAATGCACAATCTTTTGAAGTACTCAAATTTGTTATCTTGTCAATTTGTCCCCATTGCACATAATGTTTTTCTTGGTCTATTTTACAAGCTCAAAAGTTCTTTCTTGTTTTTGAGTCAAAGGGGCTAACAAATGCAATTATTTCAAGAATATATTGCTAATCATGTTGTTTTATTTTATATATATATAGAGAGAGAGATTGTTTCAAATGCAACCCATCACATTTATACAACCAATGCAATCCAATAAATTGAAGTATTTATGTAAATGATGAAAGTTCATTTATTATGATTTAAATATTTATGGAAGATGAATAATGTTCATTAATTATGATCAATACTTTATATTATGATACAATCAAAACTTCTATAAAATTACATATTCATCAAACTAAATGGACGGTTAAGATTGAGTTGTATTGGTTGTACAAATGTAAGGGGTTGTATAATATCTCACTTCTCTCTCTCTTTATATATATATATATATATATATATATATATATATAAAATATTGTATGGTAGAGATAAATACTTAAGATTTCCTTTCTTTAGTTAAATAAAATACCATAATTCGACTTATCCTATAATTTGATAAATCTTTTTATCAAATTGAATGCCCAAAGTTTGTTTCAACAATGAGAAATTTAATACTTCTTCCATCTTAAATAGATGTCCAAAATTTTATTTTAGTTTGTCTTAAAATAAATATATATTTTTAATTATATTTTTAATTATGAGATGGTGAATCACTACGAAAAATAACTTTTGCCGCAGGAAAATGTTGCCGACAAAAGTAGGTTATTAAATTTTGCAATAATTATACATTTATAAAACTTATATAATATACCTTTTTCATTGTCGACGTATATTTTGGGACTGATGGAGTAAAGTTATGAACAAAAATTAACGTCATAAAAATCTTGTAATGACTATTAGTAGTAGATAATGTAACACCATGATATTTTTCAACAGTGATCATACCATAAACTTTTTAGTTATAAACCTTTTAAGGTAGTTTAACCAATAAAACCTTAGGTTCAGTTTCTATCTAGTAGTAACCACTTCAAGTTCTCTGATCAAGACCACTGGAGGTTTATCAGATAATTAACTTTAGGATCCAATAAAATTAGTTGAAATACACGGAAGTTGGTTCAAACACCCATTTCCATCCAAAAATAGTTATACCATTGAGGAAGAGCACAACTTCCAAAACACTTCAGAGCAAGACTACTAAAAGTCAGTACTTATAAACCTCCAAAGATTATGCTTGTTCTTAGTTTTATCTTGGTATAAAACTCGACATCTACAATTAAGTATTTGGGTCAGGTTCCGGTGAGAAACATACTTAAGGTGAGAAGTGTAAGAAGAAATCTTCATCCATGAATGTATATTAGGATGAGATGCACCAGATTATTCCGTATCAAACGCAATTCATATATGGGTTTGAAATCAAAGGTTCAGATCCCTTCTTAGGCTTCTCACATTAACTCTTCTTATTACACGATCCTTCGTCTACTTATTTACTGAAGTTTTACCATGTCACCACCATGATAATGGTGAAAATCTACGGACCATGGGCACAATTGCCTTTAAACCTTATACCATCCGATAGATAACCAAAAGTCGACTATAACTATATAAAAGTAAAAAAAATGGTTTAGTATATTACGTTGAATCGTTCAATAAAACATTCAGTTAAACCACTGTGATTTTTCTCACTAAACTCAGACTTCCCTTTGAAATTTCACGAGGGTTTAGATCTGAATTGAACTTACCAACATTTATATACCACCTACTGGTAATGCTTAACTTACACGATTTTTGGGATCATTTGGTGACCCATCTCGATATCATATTAAAAGACCGACAAATCGGCCCCCTAAAGAATCTAACAATTAAAACTGCCTCCCTTCCTTTACAGAAATATCATTCTCCCCATACAACTTTTAAACCTCACACTTTTAACCCCTGATTTTGACCTTTTCTTTTCTTTTACTCCAAATTTGATTTTTGGGATGATGTTATTAACAATAAAAACTATATTGGAATATATATATATATATATATATATATATATATATACTTGGGATCATGTGAGACGAAGGGTTTTTCGTGAGACCCGTAATACCAATTCTCAACCTTTGGATTATATATACAATCTGAACATTCATAATCACAAAATTGCCACGAGACTTCTCAATAATCACAAAATTATCACCGTACAACTTTAGACCATTAGATCATTAGCTTATAAAGTTAATCAATGAACATAAATTGGTAGTCTCACGAAAAACTCTTGGTCTCACGTGAACCCAACCTATATATATATATATATATATATATATATATATATATATATATATATATGTGGAGATTCAAATACGAAAACACTTTTATCACATATGATAATACATGTGAACGATGACTTAGCACCTAATTTAAGTTATGTCAAAGGTTGTCTGCATCTCTAATTTAGTATCTTGACTATGAAAGATATAGCATATGATTGACTAAAGTAAAAGGTAATGATCATGAGCTTAAAAAACACAGACATATATATATACATATATATATATATATAATTATCATCCTAAACCAGCTTGTTTGCTTAATAACTATCACATGACTGAAGGTGGATGGGTAGGGAAGGAGGGGGTTGTTGAATTAATTAGCAGCAAAATTTGCAACATGAATGAATCCATAAGTGTATATATAGACCTTAAATATTACTGTTGTTTTCGAACTCTGGGTGCGGCCGGCTTTGGTTTAGCGACGATGTTGCCGAGGATGATAAAAACCACGGGAACAATGGTACCTATGAAGTATACGCTACCGTATGCCGTGATTGTCTCATCGAGGCTTAGTACCTGCAACATCATAAATATATAGATATACATACGCAATACATTAAAATCTCTTAACTTCATTCACCAAAAGAAAACAAAAAGAGGTACGTACAACTTCACTTTAATGTTTTATGGTACTACCAATTTTAACTCTGACATAAAATTGTCCACATATTCGAGTAAAATTACCATTGGAGTAAATTACTCGTAGGATTCCTAGGCCATGATGATGAAATCGATTGAATACAAGGAAAGAAAGAAAACTGTAGATATACATGGTGAGGTGAGGTTCCGGAGAAAAACCAAAAAAACAAAAACCGAGAAACACACTGATAACCATATATTTGTCATTTGGACGTTACTTGTATGTGCATGTGAAAACCTGAAAATTACTTGTATGCACAAGTGTATACTGAAGAGAAAGAATGGTTATTAGGTTGTTCAACAAATTTTCATTTTTCTACGTTATTCCTCTGAACCTGAACCTACATATATATGGTCGGGTTCAAAGGAGAACAATAACTATTTAAGAGGATAAGAAAATGGTCGAATCATAAAATGATTTTCACTAGCATCACGCACAAAATCACATGTAATTCATGCGATTTTGCCCCGCGACCTGAAGGCGCAGCCAATGTCGCCCGCACACATTTTTTTGACCATTAATTTAAAATCACATGTGATCTTGCACGTTTGGCTGTTTCCGTATTCTCTTAAATAGTTAACATTCTCGTTTGATCCTCCATCTCTCTCTCTCTCTCTCTCTATATATATATATATAGACTTGGGATCAAGTAAGAAAAAAGATTTCTGTCAGAAGTATTGAAGGTACACTTATATTGTGTGCATGTTACAAGGTGGTTACAGGACCTGAATGTTTACGTGCCTTCCACCCGTTTCTGTGAAAGCGGACACCTTCATACGCTTTCATACAATATATGTGAACACGCTATTATATTGTGTGAAGGCAATTATTAATACTACTTAAAATTCTATATGTATTTCTTTCCTTGTGAAGAGAAGGGAGTAAAAGAACCCAAAAAAATTCAACATAAAGAAGATGAAAGTAAATAAACAACCACCAAAGTACTTACCATGAAACCAACAGCAGAATAGTTTAGAACAAGAACTGTGTAAGCAAAGTTTGAGTGCATAAGCATCTTCTTAAGCCCACGCTTATCGCTTGGAACGGATTGTTGCCATCTGTAAATGGCTGATCATAAACAATATATGAAAACAGTCAGCCGGTTAGCGGGATGGTAGTATACGTTAAATAACTCAACCATGTAAGCAAATCATCATTTACGTACCTTTTGAACCAGAAATCATCAAAGCAGATTGAACAAAGAATATCATGTACCCAGGATATAAACCCTGTCACAGGAATAAATGTTTATCACACTCAAGTTCCTGAATTTTGCCAAATTTTGACAAGTAAATCATATAGTTCTTTGTGAAACTGGATTAAATAAAGCATCACAAACTAGTGGTTAGTAAGCACCAAATGATACTTTTAGGCGTCTGTTTGTTAGCAGCTTTTGAGCTTAATAGGACTCGCATCTTATTCTCTTAGCTATACATTACTTTTATATAGTGGTTTAATGATATAGAAAACGGTTAATTCAATAAGCTTCTAGAGGAACTTTATGCAGAAAGTCAAGCTTTTTCCAAATCTGTCCCTCCTAATTAAAAAACAAGTTCCTTCAATCATTGAAAAAACCTCCCAACCAAAAACCTTCCCAATCTATACGGACAAATTAATCCACACAGACAACTTTATTCATACAGGACTTAATGGAAAACCAACCAAACAGCCCTTAAGAGTTCCACATTGACTAGACTTCGACCAGTTATGTTCTATATATGTCGGAACCTCCCTCTCTCCTCCAGGGCTCTTTTGGAGAGTCTACTTTCGGATTTGGAAACTCATGGCTGTTACTTCTAAAATCAAATTTTGACAGATGTTCCTTCAGCTCTAAAAGTGAGACTATCAAGTCTATTATAATGCTATTTGATAGACTTTTCTCCTAGACTCTTGCAAAGCAGATGAGCAGGATGCATTATGGTTAGCCTTTGGTGTAGTTATCAAAATTTTGATTTTCAACCAATCACAATTTCTATCAATTTTGAAGTTGAAAGGTAAGCTAATATGCACTTTTAAATTCAAATGTGAACTCTTTTTCCAAAGGAGAAGTGATAAACAGACTATAATGTCTAAACACAAAGAATAATCACCAAAATATTATCATCATTTGGTTACATGTCATTTGACCTCTAAAACCTCCTTCCTCTGTCTGAATAGAGAAAGTTTCGGCTGTCGCAAAAGTCAAAAGTAGGATCCAAACTTGACATTGATGTACTTTGATTTGGAGAAAACAGAGGTATTCATGTTAAGATAGTATTCAACATTTTTAGTACAACTTTTCAGAACTGCAATTCAGATCTTACATGCCATACAGCACTTATAGTCTGTGTTGCCAGCAACTGGAAGAAACCAGGTTTCCTCCCCTTTAGAACAAGCCTGTCATAAACATCTGAACATACATATGGATACGGTATTAGAGGATGAACATAGTTTCTCACAGTTTCGTAATAAACAACTACTACATATAAGAAATACCGCAAACACTTTGGAAGTTGTACATACAAATCAAAGAACTTGTGCGATATTTAATGATCTTCTTTTGCTAAATGTTCTTTGGCACATTATGGACTGTGACAATCACATGCCAACTAAAGATGCATGTGAGGAATGATATATTTTGAATTTTGAAACTACCAGGTTCCCATAAAGATTTCAAAGTCAATCAACAAATTGAACATATTCAAGCATTAAAGAGATTATGTTATGCACTGACCCAAGCCCAAGACCATTAATAGGATGCATATTCTAGAAGGGTTAGAGTCTGTTTGTTAGCAACTTAATGAACTTAATAAGACTCACAACTTAATTAGTTAGCTATACATCACTATTTGGTAGTGGCTTAATGATATAGAAAATGGCTTGTTCAATAAGCTTTTAGGGGAGATCTTTATGCAGAAAGCTAAGTTTTTCCTAAACCTGTCTCTCCCAATTAAAAAACATACTCCTTCCATCTATGAAAAAACACTCCCAAACAAAAATCTTCACAATCTATACAGACAGTTTTATCCATACAGGACTTCATGGAAATCCAATCAAACAGCCCCTTAGTTTTAGTATTGAGTCTGTTATGGCTGTTAATAAATAGGGTTGAGGTGGGAGAGTGGAGAGATGCAGAAAATTAGTGGGTTCTATATGGGAGAGTTCTAGCCTCTCAAATGCTGGTTAGTTCTTAGTTTTCCTTGTTAATTAAAGCATCTTACAGTGTCGTTATCACTTGGTTTTCTATTTCAATTGTTCAATCGAACACAAGGGAACAAGTGGGAGGCAAGTAATGAGGACTCACAATGACGAAGCCATGTGCTGACATGTATGTTCCATACAAGCGGTATCTCTACTGAACTCTTTGCAAACTCAACACCCAAGATATCAACATTTTTGGCACGTTCCCATCGTGCTTTTTGTGGAGAACGATTAGTCCATCCACTGAAACCCAGGCCAGAAAGAATCATAGAAGCTTCTGAGATGGACCATATGAAATAATATTTCCAACGGGCTGTAAAGCTACACATGTATTGGTAGATCAACCGTTCCATAAATCCCCATTCGTTATATATTGGATCAGTGAATCTGGACAGTGGATATTGCGGTGCCAGGTATATATACGCACCCATACAGAAAGCAGCTTGAAGAATAGCTTTAACTGTTCCCCCTAAAGGTGATGGTGAAGGTCTATCAGACTTCATCCAAATCTGGCAAATAAAGGTCAAAGATAAATCCTTCACAGATTTGAGAAATAACGGAAATACACACACACAACCCACAACAAAGGGACAATAGAGGGGAAAAATAAAAAATAAAAACACCAAAACTTGGTGTACTTACCCCCTTCATTTCGGTCCAATCCAAATAATCCTTCATTTCGTAAACTGGACCAGCAAAGTGACTTCCACAACAGAGGCAATATCCCACGTACTCTATGAAAGAGGGCAACTTAAGCAACCGATTTTTCTTTTGGGTTTGTCGGAGATCTTCCTCTTTTAACAACCCATCATTATAGTTAATAGTGCATGAAATTACTTTCAATGTAATCACCATTAAGGCTCCTACATAATATAATTAGAATATAAGAAAATTGCCTTAAAACGGAATAACAAAAAGAAAACTTGATACTCATAGAATTAAGACAAGAGGGCCCAAAAAAAGCAGCATGCTCCTAAAATGATCAAACATTTATGATTTCTAAGCCAAAGTCTCCAAGATCAAATATGAAATTGTTACAACTTCAAGGTCAAGTGTTTCCATTTCTCATTCGGATCCGTGGTTCAGCCCTTTCTCCCCATGGAGGGTGTTCATTTTTCAGCAAATTCCCATTAAAAGTGATGTTCTGCTATAGTTCAACTTATTCTGTTCGAACCTTCACTGTTTGAGAAGTTGAATATTCAACTTAACTACGGAGTTTTGATGGGATCCGGTGCATTAGTGCTGGTATGTTCACACCCAAGTTGAATATCTATATGATAACAAAAAGTACATTGATGATATTTACAGTGGTATAGATTATAGAATCAATTTTATGGACATCAGCCTTCATCTTTAACTGAGAAAGTGAGAAGTGCTACTTATTTGTGGTCATCTCAAACTTCTCATGGCCAAATGCTCAATTCGATGGCATGTACATTGAAGTGTTCTAATTCTTTTCTTTTACTTCTGAGGAATAAATGATTCCATGGAGGTGACACTGAAACATCAAATATGAAGATGCTGGGATTAAAGCAACCAAATACTTCTATGTAAACATTACCTAAAAGAAGCAGCACTTCAATGCAGGGTATAGGCTAAACCATAAGTCTGATTCGTATAGTTGCAGACTGAACAAATTCTACAAGGTTTCTATTTTGGACAAAACCATGAAAGATTTGTCCAAAAAAGTTCATGTGAAATTTGGATGTTTTAAATAAGAGACCCTCCTATTAGAAATAAGAGAGTACTACAATTGTTAGTAAATGTAATGCTGTAGAGGGTGCTTACCTGTAGCATCAATATCTCCTTCCTTCCATGCATCCCCACTCATGTAGTATACATGGCTACATGTTTGCCAGCAGTTGACAAAAATCAATAGTTTTTATGAAGCTTCCATACTTTTAGATAGCGCATATCTTAAACAAAAGAACAGGAAGAAGATTCTTCGAATTTTATAAATGATAAAGGGAAGATCAGACATGCATTGCATGACATATTATATATTAAACCCACAGGAGAGGGGGTTGCAGTAGAGTTGGAAAGTTAATAAGAGAGAATATGTGAATGCAGAAATAAGAATCTCAACAAAAGAACAAAAATATCACTTCTTGTTACAATAAAATATATGTTTCCGTAAATTATGGCCTTGGCGATATAATAGTTAACAGTCAACTTCCCTTAGAGAAGTTCAAAGTTAAATGATATTATCCTTGAGTTTAGGGCAGGGAGAGAGAATTTGTTGATTTACTTCTAATCTAATTAGGAGACAATAATGTTCACCTGCCGTTTTCTCCAATACTATATGTAGGGAAAAAGATTCAAAGGCGTTGCACATATCCAAAATAGCATCAGAGCCAGGATCTAATACCACCTAGGAACACGCTCTTTCACCTCCATTCATGGGGGCACCATCTAGCATCCATTTGAGGGGGCATGTCGGAGTCTCACATCCACACATATCCTAACAACTAAAATGGAAAGGAAGTCGCTTATGGAGACACATGTGGTCATAAGAAAGACTGTGATTTTATAATAGGTCACTGAGGTTTAAACTCATAACCTCTGATAAATTGAGATTTAAATGATAACCTTTAGTTTGTAGGAGAAAATCCAACTACTTGGACAATTTTTCAAATGCTACCCATATCACCAGCAGACCCTATGTCTATTGCTAGTGTCTCATATCGGCTAAACTTGGACCATTTCTCTCAATATATGTTGGAACTTCGTTTCTTTTCTCAAGAGTTCTTTTGGAGGATAATTTGATGGGGTTCCACATACTCCCACATGGTATCATAGGCAGGGTCTACCACTCAAGGACTTGACACTCGAGGCAACCTATACTTGTCTAGCCCCCTCTCAACACTTTCCATGTATTCTCACATCTGTGATATAGACTATAGTGTAACTATTCAAAACTCATGGTTATAGGCTACAGGAAGAAGTGTTTTCTATCTCCAAAAAGGTGATTTCTGAACTTGCTATGGCTATTGCTTTGACCATAAAATCAAAGTCAAATTTAAGATTTATAGACATGTATAGTTCTTTTCTTGTAGCAACTTTAACTGTTATTTCTCAAAGCATTTTGAATTTCAGACTTTACAATCACTATCTAGATTGTATCAGAAAATAAAATTTTATCACCAGAAAGCATTGACAGATAATTATAGCTCGCCTGCAATAGTTGTTCATAAAAGTCACCAAAAACTCCCGAAAATTTATAAAAATTAACCGTGAATTATCTTAAAACATCATCATTCGGATAAAAACAATCTTCAAATTATAATGTTAATCACGTACCATCCAATGAGGTAACCCATTGCTAACAAGAATGTAATCAAACCGCATCGTTTCCTATAGAATACCATAAACCCGTAGCTGATAATCATAGGCACGAGGAAGTGCATATTGGAGGATAATCCAAACGATAGGTAGGAGAGCACGGCACCGGTAAAAGCGGCGTAGAGATGTTTTCCGGTGGAACCGCCGGGAACGAAACGGTGGAAGAAGCTGACAGGAATAGTGGCAACGAAACAAAGAAGGAATTGGAATACCGGAACCGATACTCCGATCAGATACGCCATTTCTTTCATCTTCGTTTCCATAATCTCGTTTGTCAAACACGAACACATGATGAAATGCACACCGAATCAGATGAAAGATCTGGTTGAGAGTTGTGGGATTTGGATTTTGGGAACGAGTTCTTGCATCGATGGAGACAAAAAAACGGTTCATAAAATGGAACAAGACGAAGGATCATGGGGTAGGTTGACACGTGTCTACCCCTAATTGGATGTTAGATTGGATTATGGGAGTTGCCCATTCTGCAGGTAGTTGCAAAGGAGGGAATGTAATAAATTGGGATAATAATTCCCATATGAATATGATCCTCCCTCTTATCATTATTTTAAAAATCTTTTTGATAAAGTCTAAGGATCAAATTCAGGATCTGTCTTGTTTTTTCGGGAACTTCCAACTAAATGAGATGGTTTGGTCTTGGGCCGGGTTAGATCCAACCCAAATCGGTCTCGGTATGAGATTCTCATTTCGTAACCAATCCCGGCCCCAACCAAAATACCTGACCCGTACTCTATGTACAAACCCTGGTCCCTAGAATCGGTCCTGGTCCCGGCCTATTCATGTCATCATCGTCGCCATCTTCACCTTCATCTCCCCCATCAAGCATGCATCAAACTTTATCCGGTATGTATCGGACATGTACAAGACACTATTAAATTCCAACGATGTTGAACTTTATTAAGGATATCGAACTTCTATAAGGATCCTATTGATAAGTTTTTCCACAACTCTGCCCGGAAAAACTAAATAGTTTCTTGGATCCTATCTGCCCGGAACTTCTATACTTATTTATCATTATCTGCCCGGAAAAACTAAATAAATAATAATGAAATCCTATTCAATAGTTTCTTGGATCCAAGAGCATGATTTGGTCCAAATAGCCATCTAAGATCATAGACATTATTTATATTTTTAGTTTGTAGCCAAATCTCATTGCTTGTAACTTGAACGGTTAGCTTACTGACAATAAGATGTAGATCACCAGCTCAAATGTTTCTTGATTGTTCTCCAGGTTCTATGAAACTAATCAAGGTTACAAACTGACTCGGACATTCACGATTAACAAAAACCTTAACCAGCTCGACCCTCCAAAGTAATTGGGTTTTAACTTTTAACTAGACCCTGAATTATCTGACGGCCTAAGTTAAAGCCCATCATATCAAGCTGTGTCAGTGTTGGAACTTGGAAAGGACCTCAAAGTTCGGATCTTTTTTGAAGAAAAGTGAGTAACTTTTCCAACCCACATTTGGGCTAATTAATGATCAATCACCAAACAAAGCATATAGATCTAAGTTGCAAATGCCATATAAACTTTATTAAATACAAAAGGTACCATTTCAGCCTGCCATGGTTGCATCCTGCTAATATAAACAGACAATCAATTGTGCCCATCAAGCCGGTCGACCAGACGGGCAGAACCGTATATTGACCAAACGGCACAAAAAAAGTATTTCAGGTGCATATATTTGAACCAATGACCCTATGTTCATGGGAAGATGGATTGTTTCTATTTTGCAAGATGGGTATTGGTTATATCGACTCAAGAAATAACGCCTCCTGCTTGCTAGTCAAACCAAGTTCGTTGAAGGTCAACTCACTTTCTCCGTCACCGAAAGCACGTCGAGGGTATGGTCTTACCTGTGTCAAACATAAGAGAGCAACAATGATTACATTTAGTTATAGCATCTCGATCAATTAGCTATTTGTTAATTCCAAGGTCGGTCTTAATTCATCATCTATGAACAGCTAAGTTGTGCAATTACTCACTACGAAACAAGGATACGAGTGGAGGACACCAGGATGTGACTGTTTTTCAAATTATGAATATTCGTTAATGCACAAGGTTGATTCATTTGAGAGCCATAAATATTTGGGAAAATTGCCTAAATGACCAAAATACATGTACCTAATTAACAAAATAACCAACTTTATGTGTATTCACCTTAATAACCACCCATTTCACTAAAGCATTTCACCAGATTGGCTAAATACTTGCATAGGGCCCACATGTCATAACAAGTGAAAAATACTTCATACATAAAAAGCATGTATTTCTCCAATTTGTGAGGTTTTTGGCGAAATACCTAAAAAGTGAGACTCACTTCTGAAAAAGTGGGACCCATCTTGAAAACTTGTATCCATTTTCGCCAAAAACCCAACAAGTTGGCTAATTGCATGCTTTTTTTTGGCTAAATGCATGGAATATTTTCCACTTTTTATGACATGTGGGCCCTATGTTAGCATTTAGCCAATTTGGCAAAATGCGGGCCAGTGGGCCCTATGTTAGCATTTAGTCAAATTGGCAAAATACTTAAAGTCAAATGGGTGGTCATTTAGGTAAATACATAAAAAAGTTGGTTATTTTTTTAATTAAGTATAGGTATTTTGGTCATTTAGGCAACTTTCCATAAATATTTTGAGGTGAGAACCAAATATTCATGATAACCATCATGAATATTAATATATTTATGTTCATTCATCATGTATATTTATGTTCATTAAGTACTTTCAGTTCCCAAAACGAACTTTCCCATATACATCAAACCAATAAAAGAACATGCATTAAATGTCACGCATAGTCGAAAACTGTAGGAAAAAGAAGCTGCAACTCGCCTAGCCTCACTTCTCACTCAAGCATAGACATTTTTTTGTTGTTCTTGAGTTCTGAATTTTCGACCTCATTTTTTAAAATACCAAAATACCCAAAATACCCTTTTCCCATATCCCATATGACCAACAATTTGGAATTTTCAATCAAGCCACACCTAGTCAGCACATCATTGTACCACAGAAACTGCACCGCGAAAGCACCGAATACAGCATTCTACATGCTTTAAAAAGTTTTTGAAGAAACCGTCCCAACCAGCACATACATTGCATAAACATAAATTTGAAGGTGACTTGAAAAAAAATGAGTAATTACCAATCTGTATGCAGTAGGCTTGACCACTCTGCCAATATCGATGAAGTCAAAAAGATACTGCCAGGATAAGGAAGAGAAAAGAGTAAATTTAAGGAATGAGACTTAGGGCCTGTCTGTCAGTAGCTTAATGAGCTTAATGGAACTCAACTTATTTGTTCAGCTATACACGATTGTTTGGTAGTGGCTTATTCAGTAAACTTTTAGGGGATGCTTTATGCAGGAAGCCAAGTTTCTTCCAAGCCTGCCCCTCCTAATTAAAAAACATGTTCCTTCCATTTATGAAAAAACCCTCCTATCTATACAAGTTGATTAATCCACACCGACAACTTTATCCATACAGGACTAGAAGAAAACCAACCAAACAACCCCTTAAACACATGGCTAATAACAAAATGCATATCAATATCCTTGCTGCCAAAACCATACCTGTAATTTGTCCGTCTTCAGGAACCGGCGACCACGGCGGCTTCCATCGGGCATCCGCACGAGGAGGGTCACAGCATTTACATCATCAGATGTAGGTTCCTGAGGAAGTGAAGCTTCTTTTGCTGCTAACTGCCTCTCAATTTCCTGCAAAGAAAAAGTAAAAATTCTTGAAAAATATACTCAAATCTAGAATTTAGATTGGATAAGTGACTTAGAAAAGGGCATTCAGGTTGGTCCTTGCTTCCTTGAGTTGGGTTATGCCTCAAAGTATTTGTAATAGAAATGATGACAGGGCACAGTTTAGTGGATGTGGTTAACTAGTCAAACACCTAAAATACCCTTTAGGAATATGAAGGATCAAGACTAATGATTTGGGATCGGAGGGGAACAAGGCCAGGTTGGATCGGGAAATCGGCCCCGCCACATATTCCATCTCCTTGCCATCCCTAATGCAAATAGTTGGTTGCTATGAAAAGAGACATTCATTAAACCGATATAAGATTATCACATTATATACACCTATATATATCATCATTTCCAATTTCCAATTTCCAAATAACAGCACAATGTAAGGTGGAGATGCATATCAAATAACAAGTCCAACTCAATATTTAAAAATTCATCACCTCAACCATTGGCAAATCATGGAAAATGGTTCTATGCACTTCCTGGATCATCTGCCAGGGCATGGAGTGATACATTATCTCCACAAAATTATAGACATGAGAAAGTTGTTTCAAATAGTTTATATGCCAAAAAGATAGATATGAAGACATATTGGCATTGGTGCACTTTTATAAGCATGACTAATCATCTGTTAGAGAAAGATTTCAATCAGCCATTACTTGTTCTTCTTCCAATTTTCTCTGTGCTTCTTCCTCCTTTCGCCTTACTTCTTCCATAGCAGCTTCTCTAGCTGCCTGCTCTTGTAACTCCTTTTCTCTGTCAGCTTGCAATGATGCAAGATATTCATCATCCTGCAAAGTAGGTGTTAGGAACAAGAACAACGATTGCAACAATCATATTGTGTTGTTTAGGGAGACGCCCCCGTTATGAACTCAGCCACAGTTACGTTTGTAAAACATTCACCTGTTGCTCTCTTATCAAGCGTTGAGCAGTGAGAGATGGAGATGGAGGGCGTGGTGTCTGCCTAGGGTAAGCCCCGGAAGTTCTATCCAAACCATTTTCCATATAACCACGTCGCACATGATATCCAGCCGTTTCAGGAATTCCACCAAAGAGTGCAGCCTCAAGCATGACTGCTTCATCATGTTCCACAGACGAGATGCCTCCCCACTTCGCATAAATAACCACATAAAATAAGTAGATATGTGTACCAAAATAAGTAATATACTGAACTTATAATAGGAAATTAGAAAAAAAGGACAGAGAAATACTTCATCGGATGGGAAGTCATCATTGTCGTTCACCAGATGATTGACATTTTCTTGTTGTAGAGGATCTGCAGATAAGATCAAATCTACTTCTCCCATGTTTTTAGCAGTGTCAGTAGAGCTTGAGGGCATATGTCTACTCCTATGCCTAACTAGAGGATGCTTGTCTGCATCATCCGTTTCATCCTGGATAGACGAGCCTCCAACACCCAACCTATATTTCCTTGTTTACTCTTGTCAGAAGAACTTCCCACTTGTCTCAATGGTTTAAGGAATTAATATAAAATATAAATAAAATAAAACAGTACCTTCCATTTGATGATGCCAATGCTGCCACTTCTTCAACCTCGGCCAACTTAGAAGCTGTTCCTGATGGTCCAGCTTCAGATTCTAGTTCACGTGAGGCCCTCTCTTGCTCAGCTGTCTGAAAAAAGATTAACATTACAAGAGAGAAGGCAGTATGAGGTTTGTGATTTAGGATTTAGGGTCTGTTCGTTAGCAGCTTACTGGGACTCACGGCTTATTCGATCAGCTATACGCGAGTGTTTGGTAGTGGCTTAATGATATAAAGAGTAGTTTATTTAGTAAGCTTCTAGGGGGAGTTTTATGCAGAAAGCCATGTTTTTTTGGAACATGCCCCTCCCAACTGAAAACACGCTCCTTCGATCTATGTAAAAAACCCACCCAAAGAAAAACCTTTCCAATCTATACAGACAGATTAATCCACACAGACAGCTTTATCCAACATGACTTATTGGAAAATCAACCAAACAGCCCCTTAGTGTTATGATGAAAACTGAACACAAACCTTCAAAGATAATGAGACTACATGTGCGAGTTCAGGATCCTCAGACTGAGATTGTGTTTGCTGAGGTACAGCAGCATCTGGTCGACTAATTTCAGTATCGTGTTTGGAAGCTTCGATTGCAGCTTGGATCATCTGTTCTTCTATGCCGTAGTCGGGTAAATCATCAAGTCCAGGAGCACTTGGACTCAAATGTGTGCCTTGAGATGTACCAACCAATACACCTTCACTTGGTTCACTCAGCCCTGCTGGATGAGAAGATTGAAGAGATGGCAAATGATCATTAACTTCATCATCAATACTCAGGGTCCCACGAGCTTCTGGGACGATTTCTGGTAAGGTCTCGTTGACATCCTCAATTCTGGGAGCACTATCAGGGTGATGTGAATCTGAACCGTTCTCGTCCTTTACCTCAATGGGAACTTGCCTCACCTCTCTTGGATGGGAAACAAATGGTCCAGCCCCTTGACCACTATCAATTATATGTCTGTTGAAGTTGGAATCAAGAAGAGAAAGCGGGTTCATATCTCTCGCAGGAGAAAAAGGTGAAAATGATGGTCTGTGAGTTGTAACTTCACTTGGCTCATCTATGTCCATCAAATCCTCCTGTGAAGCAGCAACATCTGTTTCATGTCTGCTGAAATAACGGAATCACATGTTCAAAAAGGAAAGCAAAAACAAGATGGGGTTTATTATCCTTTTCTTTCTCCTTTGGTAATTAGACATAATTATTAAAAGAAACTGACATGTTTGCATCTCGTTCAGTAAAATGTGCATTAACTGCTTGATTGAGATTGGCACCATGCTCCTGATACCAAAAAGACAAATGCAGTTTAGCCCAGGCAGCAAAATGGTAATTAATAGAAAATAGAAATAACTTGAAAAAAATTCAATTGCTGTATTCAATAGCAGCAGATGAAAGAAGCAAAGCCTTAGGGACGTATAGTAGTTAAGAGATTCGAAGCACTCTCAGGGAGACAGACACTTACAGCTTACTAAGGTATCTTGTGGCAACACTTTCATTTTGGGTTACTGGTTATAACTTATAAACTTGACATTGGTGTTTAAACAGTTGACAAAACAAAACTATAGAAAAAAACCATGTTGAGTATTTGCTTTGATGAGATTAAAGTTTCAAATCCAATAAAACACATTTCCATTTTTTTTGAATTTCCCATATCTTATCCTTTTTTAAACTGAATGATCTTGCCAAATGCATTTTTAGCTGAAATCAATAGGATTTCCCAAATCCTCCCTTAGGAAGAGCGTGAAATTTGTTGTTCGCTGATCCATTCTTTAGGTGAGAGGAAACCTTCTCTTCAGTTCATTATCAAACAAAATCGCAACAATGTTTCAATTACAGAAAGCGTAAACACAAAACGGAAAATGAAAGTGTTACCAAAATGTATTTAATGTTATCCTCAAGACAAATGTATGTCATCAGATAAATGAAGGGCTATAGTACATTGGTGTCAATCAAGAAACAAGAAGAGATTTAAATTGTACAAAATATCAAAGGGATCAAGCTTATAATCCATTTAGTGAAATTAGGGTGTGCTGCTGAGCAAAGGCTACTGTAGATATCTTGTACAGAAGGCTAATATATAGACTATACATACATATATATATATATATATATATATATATATAAGTATACAACTAATTTTATATAGATATATATATATATATATTCAGAACATATAAATGATAGATTGTGAAAGTGTAGGGGGAGAAAGTTTTCCCCTCAGTCAAGGCCTCAAGGAGAACTGTCGTATTTCTCTTGGAGATTTTATTAATTTAACAGACACATAGAGAAGGAATGTCAACAAAACTGTGAATCACAACAAGATATGGTGTCAAGCACCATTCTCTCTTTTTTTCATAATTTATCCAAAACTGCTCGTTCATGCAATCTATGGTGTTTTTAAGCACTTCCACAAGAATTTAGGTACATGGTAACGAAGAGCCATGCATGATGATTAAAAAAATCAATCAATCTTAACCACAAGGGTCGTGCCTGATTGGTTTGAGCTTGGCCCAAAGGTCAAAAGTACCTGGAGGTCCAAGGTTCAAATCCAATGAGGAATAAAAATCCCCTTGTGGCCACAGAGGTTCAAATGCGGTGACTTTGAGCTATCTGCAAAGCAGGTGGTCGCCTTGGGATTAGTCGGCTCGCATAGCGGGTTGGATATCCAGGTTAATCAAAAAAAAATCAATCAATCTTAAGGACTTGAACTTCATAATGGCTGCCACAAATAGTAACCAGGGTTAACTTTGCAACTACATCCATATCAATTAAGGCAGCAAACGAATTGAACTTTCATCAAGTAATTCGAGCTTGATCGAGTAGAACTTGACTGAGTTCGAGTTCAACCACAAATACAAAAATTTGATGTGTCAAGTTTGAATTTGTTAAACTTGATTCTTATCGAGCTTTTTGAGCCCTATCTATATATTGCTTTATTGAATATAGTTTTGATGAATGTTTTCGAGCTTCGTTATCGAACATAGTTCTCATGGATAATTTTAACCTATTTGAGTTCTCGATCAAGCTTGAATCTTCCACAAGCTAACTCGTTTCAGCAATCAATCGTGTTTGTGCTAAGACCAACACCTTCAAGTCGAGCATGTGCAGCCCTAATTTTGTATTCAAAAATTACAGGTTTGAAATCAATTATCCAGGTATATCACTTTTTGGATTCCAAACATCTACATTCAAACATCATTCAAGGATCCAAATGCTGGGTGGAGATAGCTTAAAACCCCTACATTCCATTAAGAATCAAAATGCGAACTTAAAAAAAAGGCATAAATTAACATCGATCATGAATAAAGAAACTAATCAGTGAAGCAATACTAACAATCAATGGAAAACAGTAAATTATGATTTGTGGCGTAACTGAAAACAGAACATTGGTATAATTACCGTGAGTTTCTGAATAGCCACAAGTTCAGATGAACCGGTAATACTCATGAAAGTCTCGATTGATTCTTGATCAGGTGTTGCCATTGAAGAATCTTAAGAACCAACTGATTCACTAGCAGAGAGGATGCACGCAGAATCTGTTTGTATATATAGGATCAAAATAAATTGAAGGAGATGATGAGTTTTCGTGTTGGATGAATATATTGGTATAGTATGTATACAAAAGTATCGTTTTTGGTCCCTTGAACTTTCTTTTTGGCAGTACCAACCCCTAATTGATATCAAATTAGGTCAAATCATATCTATTGGATTGGAATTAGGTTCATTTGAACCCGATTTCTTTCTATACTATGTATTTAATATGATTGTTAAGTCTTTAATTAATATATATGTATTAGACATCAGACCAACCCGTAATTAATTATATTACAACTTTGACCTTAATGTTAATTTCTTATTTGCATGAACCTTCAAGTTTTTTTTTTCTTTTTTTGAGTTTGTTATCTTTTTTGTATGTTTACATTTTGTTTTCACTTCATTTAAACACAGACGTTTAGCTAGATTGGGTTAGATTGAGTTGAGATTTTTTTAAACTGCAAACATTGGGTTGGGTTGTTCAAATGTCTTCAATCCGACCAACCCAAGTACCCAACTCATGTGCAACCCTAGTATCGGATCAAAACCTAGGGTTCCCCCTTGATCGAGATTATGAACTTATGCAAATTTGTCCTTCACATGAATCATACAGACTTTCTACCTTCCGAAATGGACACTTGCCCTGTTCACTGAGAGCATCTTTCAATAACTTCTCTAAAATAGAAAAAAGTGAGTTTTTGTTCTCTAATATGCCCCAACAGTTTCAGTATCTTGTTCTCTAAGATAGAGAATCATGGAGAAACTCTAAATATAGAGAATTCTCTAAAATTTGATGTTGGGAGAGAAAAATGATTATTTTATTTAATTCCACCAATGAGATTGAGTTATTATTTTGTTATAAAAAGTTTTTTTTTAATGTATTGGGATGATAAATTAGAGAATGTTATAGTAATATAATTAATGTTAAAATCTCTAAAATAAAGAAACTGTTGGAGATGAATATAATTCTTTCTAAAGAAATTATGTTTTGGTTCTCTATTTTAGAAAAATTATAAAAAAACTGTTGGAGATACTCTAAGAGGTGTTTCTTCCAAAAATAAAATCCATGTCTTGCTAGCAGTAGACGTTACATCAGGTATATTATCAGTTTTTACCTAGCAGTGGTCCAGTATTTTTTGACATCTAGAACCTTTGATGCATATAGACACAACTCATTATATAGAATTTTTTTTACATTGTGAAGTTAAAGCTATAGAAATTCACCTATTATTGAATAGATATGTAAGCTGTAAGATAATATGTGAATCTTTTTTGCTAATTGCATGTTCAACATGTCTCCTTATTAACACTCTAACAAACAATTACTTGTCGTTCATATCCTCAACACGTACATGCATGTTGGATATCCATATTAATAAAAATCCTCTTGTGGCCACGAAAGTTCAAATGCGGTGACTCCGGATTACCTATAAAGTGGGTGTTCGCCTTGGGTTTAGTCAACTCGTATAGCGGGTTGGATATCCAGGTTAATAAAAAAACCAAAATTTGACCTAAATACATTAAAAGATAATGAATACTAATACATGGATCAAATAAGTCATTTGATCATAGTACAGGGACCAATTATGTTACTTTTATTATTTTGTATTGATGAAACAAATTTGAAGCAGAATGGCGATTGCTGCTTCTCCGTCCTCGCACGCCTCTCTTCTGGAATTTGCTTTCGGGTTTCGGCTACGATACTCTATTGTTACATTACGTGTCATGTTAGATGAACAAGCGAGAAGACAGCCGTTGGATGATAGTCAAGAAGTTGGAAAGTCAGTATTTGGATATGATCAGCGGTCGAGATTGCATTATGTTGTGAGCATGCACACATGTTAACAAGTTTCTGGTTTCCCATATTTGGGACTTTGGGGTTATCTTGGGAGAGGAGTTAAGTAGGTTGCTTTTATCCATTAAACACTATTTAACAATTGTAATTATCGTTATTTTAATATTACTTTATAATTTTAATTACTTTAAAAATAATAATTTTATTTAAATCTTATACTTTTTGGTTATTTTTTTTATTTTTATGTCATTATTATTTATTGGAAGACCTTCTTTCAGGAATGAAATTTTGGTAATTTTGAGAACCAGTGTAGTATGTGTTATTTCATATGATTTTTTTCATTATAAAATTATAATTTAGAATATTGATTAGCATGTATTATTTCGTATTATGTTTGTTTCACATGTATTTGTTCCACAATGTGAAGCACGTCTGTGACACAAAGATTACACGTAAAAATGTTTCACATTGTAAAAGAAATACATATGAAACAAATACATTGTGAAATAAACATATGTTAACCAATACATGTGATGAATATTAAATGCTAGTCTTAGATAATTCAAGTAAAAAACCAATATTCTATGGTAAAAGTTCTCACGATTATCACAATATACGGAGTTCATTCTGAAAATTTCACAATATTTAAAATGATGAGCCTTGTTGTATAAAAAATGTCTTCTCTTTTTCCTTTAAATTAAGGAAAAGACTATCTCTACATTTTTCATCCTTTCCAAAAAAAGGTGAAAAGGCCATAAGATATTGCAAGAAGTGAAATGAAGTCTTTACCATCAAGTTAGAACGATGTTTTCTTCCTTCGGATAAAAGGGATATCCATCTCTCCCTTTCACCTATAAATTGAAGCATTTGCTCTCATTTTAAAGATCATTCATTTGAAGCACAACTCAGCTGAAATCTTTCTTCTTCTTCTTTTTCTCTTAAGTTAAGTTTTAGCATGTAATTTTCTTCTTAATTGTAATCTGTTGCCCACAGTTTCACCATTGTAGGTAGCAGACTTTTGTTTTATTTTAATGAAAATCACGTTTCAGCTTTATTTCTTGTCTTATATTATGTTTCATATGTCTATTATGAGCAAATTACCCATTTTTGGGTGTGAGTGTGAATGTGAGTCAAGCTTAAGAACTTGAAGGCACACTTGAGTGTTGTCATTGTTATTAATTCTTAAGTTTAGTCACTTTAAGTCGGGAGTCGGGACTTAAGCTCAATGCGGATAAGTCGATCACTTAAAAGTGTTAATATTATATCATTGATCCAGAGATGTACGGATTCGAAATACAACTTAAGTGATGCACAAATATTTGAAAAAGTCTTTGATAATCACATAGAGATACAAATTTTGCATGTTTTTAGCTAAGGTTCAAATATTAGTCGAGATTTACACTACAAAGAGAATTGAGTATAAATCTTAATGCTAGTGGAACTAAATATCTTTTTATCACTTAGCTAATTCGGCAAGCTTAAAACTGATGATGGTGGGCACCCCGTGGGCATATATATAAAAATTCACTTTCGAGAGATTGGAGTTTTTATAGAAGTCCCATGAGTTTCTGACCATACTGTTCCTATAATCTTCTTAAGAAAAACTTACACCCATACCCATCTTTTAATTTGAAAATGTTTATTTCGTATTCTAAGTTTTTTACCAACAAAACTCAACTTTTATTCACAAAACGAAACATGCTCAAGAAGTTCATGAAACTCTCTGATTCTCAGTAGTCCAATCCATGTGAAAACTATCTTGGTACTATACCACTTTATTACTTGAAGCGATCATAGTGTCAGCGTGCACTTGCACCGCCACTGGAGGGACTTTGTGTCCACTGTGTGAACACTTATGATTTCAAGCCGTCAATTACTTTTTATTAAAGCTCAATTGTGCATAAGTATAACTTATTAAAGCTCAGTTTTTGAATTTGTATAACTAACTGCAGATAAACATAATCAAATATAGGATAAATATCTCATTTTAAATATAAAAAATTTAAAATATAATTAAGACATTGAGTTCTAATAAAATCATTATCTTTATAAAAATTATATTGTTAAGTCAAAAATAAATTATGTCACTATTAGACTTAAATTAAATTACAATAAAAAAAATTAATTAAAGAAATTGTACAAAAAAAAACTTTTAAATAATTAATATTGATATATATTTTCAAACTTGTATGATAATCTTCAAATAAATTTTTATTCAAAAGTAAAAACATTATTTTTCTCAAAACCACATAACATATCAATAAAGACTAAAAAAACGAAATATTAAAATGAAGATGTATCTCGTTGCATTGTAAGAGTACCATTCCAGTTCTTTACAAAATTTGCTTATATTGTTTCTATTAAATATTTAGAAAATTATAATGAAAAATATTTATTAACCATATGTTTTATTCCTTTCTCACAGTAATTAAATATTTTATTAAAAAATATTTAAATATTTATCAAACTAACTCCCTTTTTAAATGAAAAATAATCATTAGATTAGTTGATGATTTAAAATTAAGTATTTAAATATTGGTTGAATAATTATCATATAAAATATCTAATACACACAAACTAAAATCGTGATTTTGATGAAAATAATAATAAAATATAAATAATCGCAATTTTAATATTTGTCAAAAGATATTGTGGTTTTCATAAATCATCTTGGTGTCGAGATTATTTGCAATTGTAGTTAAAAAATATTATTTATATTGAAGTACTTAAGAAGAAAATGTATAATAGTGATTATCCTTTATTTTTTAACTAGAAGAGTACTCGCACGATGCAACATGATATATCTTGATTTTAATGTTTCGTTTTATTCAGTCATTGTTGATATTATAATACGGTTTTATGTGGTTATGAGAAAAAGATAATGCTTTTATTTTTGAATAAAATATAAATTTAAAGATATTATAAAATTTTGAAAAAAAATATATCTATATTAGCATCAAATTAACTATTTTAAAGTTATTTTTTTTTTGTATTTTTTTAATTATAATTTGATTTAGGTTTAATTACGAAGTAATTTATTTTTTATTTAACAATATAATTTTTTATAAAGATAATAATTATATATTATGTTATATCTCAATGATTATCTTAATTATATTTTAGATTTTTTATATTTAAAATGAAATGTTTATCCTGTATTTGATTATGTTTATTTGTAGTTAGTTACACGAATTAAATATGGAGATTTAATAAGTTATACTTACGCACAATTTATTTATAATGTTG